GTCTAGGAACTCTAATCATGGACCAGGACCCCATTGTACTAGGTGCAATATAAACATATAACTGGCTATTGGAAGTCAGTAACTTAGTACCTGATGAAAAGGGTGGGACTCTTTATTGACTTCAATGGGCTTTTGGCTTAGGCGTACAAAAAAAGAGTTTATTATGTGCTGCAGAGGATTTGAAACCAGGTGATGCTATTATTAGCTTTATAATTATAAACTGGAAGCACCCTGGTGTTGCCATAAAAGAGGGACATATTTTTTTCTCCAGCAGGAATTGAAACATACGTTTTTGTTTTTGATGATGATGATCTCACTGAGAATGTACTTTTCATTCCAATAAGACACGAAATTTCCCAGATGAAAATATGTTCACATTAGGGGCCTGCTCTTGTAATCTTACTGAGATAAAAATCTCCCCCAGTGAAGTCAATGAGGAATCGTGCCTGAATCAGGAGTCCAGGATGGAATCTGAGGTCTTCAGGTGGCTGTTCAGCAGAATTGATAATGAATAGTATCAAGAGGGAATGCTTCAGAGAAGGAAAACATACACAAGAGAAGGAAAAATTCCAAAATGAAATTGATACAGTAAATTACAGATCTTACAAAATGAGACAGTTCTTTTCAAAGTCTCCCCCCCACCCCCCCGAGGACTTGGAACTAATCTTTTCAGCTCATGGAAACAGGGTAATGTGAAAGCAAAGAGATGCAGTTAGGATTTTCCCTGAGAAGAGTGGGCTGTTGCTTAAAGTGCAGAGCACCTCAGGCCTGATCCAGCTGAAATTAATGGTGAAATTCTCATTTCTTTCAATGAAACAGGATCAGACCCATACCCAACCATCAAATATTATTGCCTTCCTGTGATGCAGCATTTTGCTAAAATCCTAAATGCGAATTGTAGGATAGAGTGGACAATAAGTCTAGGACACACAAAAACGTTTTAGTCTTAAAACTAAGGCTGATGGTTTTTTTAAAGGTGCCTTGGGGATCTGGATGCCAATTAATGGGACCTGGGTATCAGACTCGTTAGGCAGCTTTGGAAATCTCAGCCTACATGTTGTTGTCCTGCTCCTTTTTCTGAAGGCACCTGAAGAGGAACAATGATAGAAAAGACCAGAGAAGCCCGGTAATCAATCAGTGGATTCTTCATGTAAACAGCACCGAATAATCTTAGGCTATGTCTACATTAGAGAGCTTGCATTGGTACAGCTGCACCACCATAAGTTCACTAGTGTAGCCACTCTATGCCTTAGTTAATCTGTACTGATGGGAGAAGCCCTCCTATCAACTTAGCGCTGTCTACACTGGGAGTTTGGTCAGTATAACCGCATCACTCAGGGGTGTGAATTTTCCATGCCCCTAAGTGATGTAGTTATACCAACATAAATGTGCAGCGTAGACCGGGGCTTAGTGTTATCTTATTAAACAGCTCTTAGGTGTATTTCATTTTTAACTGAAGAACAGATACATCAGCGTGGATATGGTACTGATGGAGGTGAATGATTTGTCAAAAGCAAGGAGGATCCAGCTGACCTGCCATAAATCATGTTGGCTGAAAAGTTAGCAGCCAGTATTTGCCTGCTTGCTGCAATGATTCATTAGTATTAACATAGAAGTTCAGTAGGTCACAGGAGCATCATGCTGTCCTGGAAAGCTTAGATGAGAAGCGAGAGTTGAAGAAGTTCAAGACATCCTGATGTGCATGGATACTCAATTCTGTAGATGTAGGGAAAAGAAGTAAATGAAACCCTATTGTGGTAGAGAATATTTTCTATGTCTATACTGAGTCTAGACAATGAGACATTTATTTTTTTTAAACAATCAAGTTCCTGTCTGTTCTGCATGTACATAACAAAGGGGCAATGAGATATTTAAGGAGAAGGAGCTTAGTTAGATGTTCTTGGCCAAAGAATTTCTCTCTCCCTATTATTGGGCAGCATGAGGAGTACCAATTAGCTATCCTATCTGTGTAAGAGAGATTTAATTCTTTGGTACAATATACAACTATAACAGTAAAAGAAATGAAACAGGTTTTCAGGTTCTTTTACAAACTCATTTAAAGCAAGTTTGATTTATACCACTACTCTTGTTAACAGAATTTAGGCATATCTTTTATTACCTAGTGTATTGCAGTACCACCTTTATAGTTCCATCTTTGAAAGTTGCACTTTGCAGCTAAGAGAAGTTATCCAAACCCAGCTGTTTTTTCAGGCAAAGCAAGTTGCAAAGTATTTATAAACAGTTTTATATCTGTTTAATGTTTCAGGACTGTAGCTATTTTCTCAAATGTAGACCACACAATGAGTGGTCATGATATCATAAATTTTATTTTTCATGCTTTAAAACTCAGATCATCAAGGACTTTGAGTAAAATCCAAGGTTTTAAACAAACTAGCCAACCTGTCAAAGCTACTTGAATTCTTGGCATTTTTAAAATAACATTGATTACAGGAATATAACAGACAACCTTGTTCATGTTTTGATCTTTTCTGTTATGTTTGACACTACCTTAGAACATTTATCAGAGACTTTAAAAAGCAATTTTTACCATTCAGAAATTATATATAGCATCCTGAAAAGCAATGTAAACACCAAGGAAGCACTGCAAACCATCAGACTTAGGGGTCATCCACTGACGTTGATGATCAAGATTTAAGTGACATCAATGAGAGAGAGATTAGGCCATCAAGACTTTAATGTACCCACAAGACCATTAAAGCAACCCTATGGTCTTTTTCAGACAAAAAACATCATCCACATGTACAGTTTATAATGTTGTTCTGGCTCTTTATAAGGAAATAATTAGGAAAGCATTTTAAAGTCTGATCCAAAGCCCATTGATGTGGATGGGAGTCTTTCCCCTGGACTTCATGAGCTTTGAATCAGGCCGATAGCCTCAAACTTGAGTAAAAGGGTTACAGAAGTTTAAAACTGGAGATAACATGGCAGTATTACTGTGCAGTATTGTAGTGTTAGCACTCAAAGTTTAAAAAAAAAATCTTGTTGAAGCATAATATACTCCTATGTCAAATGGAAAATAACTCATATAATAAGAATATCTGTCCACAGCTACTGACCTGATTTATTCCCTGAAAAAGTCAGAAGTGCTGACAGAAATGTTTGAGATTTTTAGATAATTTTCTATGTTCTTTGTTGCCTTTCACTTATTTCAATATCTGCACATATTTTGAAGCAGGACACACACAATATTATATATATAATATGCTTGGTAGAATTTGATTTTTATTTTTTTATAATGTCTATCTATTTGTAAGCATTTTTAGATGGTTATTGATTTTAAATTTTCACAGATGTGGGAAATTAAGAGCAGAGATTGTCAATTATTTAATGACAGGAGATGTTGCCATTCAAAAAGTTAGTTTTATAAATGATTAAAACCCAAATTGTCAACATCACATGTCAAAATACACAAAGTCAATATCCTTAAATCAACAAAGCATACCTGTTTTTACTATTCATCTGCTAATTTATTTGTAATAAGCCTAATTCAAAACTCTTTTTCTTATTTTGCCTATGGCAACATTTTGATTATCTACAGAAATTCTGTGTGTGGTGAGATTGACACCTACTGATTCAAAATCTAATCCTTCTATGCACCCCAGGTATATAAATTCTTTGGGAAACATGCACTTTCATAATATCACTTTTTTCAATTTAAATACAGATCTGAGACTAACTTCTGCACTAAATGCCATCAATCGCATTGCATAAATGTAAACATGGACAGAATTTGGCGCAGAATATATAACGGTGCACACGAAAGTAAAACTCTTCATCATTTAAGGACTGATTTAATGTATAAATTGACTAGCGGTGGCAGAGGCAAGCATTAAGTGGGCTCTACATTTTACTCAAAAACTTGCAATCTTTCTTTTACACATCCCATTAAAATCAAATTACGCTATTTCGCATCCTACTGTAATGGGTTATATTTCTCCCACATCAGACAGAATGTCTGCAGACTAACTACGCTGTCGCTGTAAAGTTTTTCATCTTTCTCGTGGCTCGTATTACTACTATACTTGTACCAAGAAGGCTAGGCTTCTCCGCCGCTGCCGCTGGCAGGATGTGGCTGGTCCACACACTAGTGCGTTTGCAGGGACGTGAAACAAATGCGGAGCCTGATCAAAGCCCGAAGTGAAGCAAAGCACGGCTGACTCTGGGCAAGCGATGGCTGGATGTGTGTGTTCCGATGGCCGGAGGGAGGCGGCAGGCAAGCGGGCGGGGGGAGGGCGCTGCAAAGCAGGCTCAAACGTGGTCCTGTTGTCAAAGCTGTGTTTTCTTCTTGTCAATCTGCTCCGATTGGGGAGACGTGCCTGGCTTCTGAAGCAATCAGTGCGCAGGCGCATATCATTCCCGAGCCCCAGTGAAATGCTCTTGGACGTAGGAAGGGGATCACCCTCTTTCCCTGTCTGTGTTTCCTTCCCTCTCTCTCCTCCCCCCACGTCTCTCTGTTCCTCTGCTTAGCCCAGGCCCCCTTGTTGTCTTTAACGTCGCCTACTCCCTAGGAAACAGTATCCCCCCAGCTCCCACTCCTCTACCCAGGCTATCTGAAGCCAGTTGTGCCTGTTGATTACTCTCTCTTCTCTCTCCCCCCCCCCCCCCCCCCCGCTTGCTTGATTTCAAACCTTTGGATGGTGTTTTGGTGTCATTAGGAGACTATCATCCCTGGAGCTCCAGCGAGGGGCTGTGGGGGGGGGGTGGGGGGAGGAAGAGGCTGGAATAATACACAACTGAGATTTTGACTCTGTCCTGCAGCCGTCCCAGCGATCTCTGGATACCAGGTTGCACCTGGTCCCTCCCTAGGGCTGCTTCTGGTTGCCGGCTCCTAGGAGGCTTTGCAGCTGGGGGTTGCCGGCTCCTAGTTGGCGGCGGCTGCTACTCCAGCTCGCAGCGCCCCCCCCCCCCATGAGCAGAGAGGCAGAGGAGCAGCAGCAGCAGCAGGGGACGCCAGGAGGAGCATTCCTTCCCCGGGGTTTATGAATGGCACTGACATGGAGGAAATACCGTTTCAGAAAGTCAAGACCAAGAGGAAGACGTGCTGCCGCTGCTGCTGCTCCCCCCCGGCCGCGGGCGCCGGGCTGGGGGGAGTCCCTCCGCCGCCGCTGCTGGATGCCGTCGCCTGCGAGGACGAGTTCGACTGCAAGGAGCTGGAGTCCCTCTTCCAGAGCTACAACCTGAAGCTGGAGCAGACCTCCACCCTCAAGGCGCTGGCCGTGCTCATCGTGCTGACCGCCAGCCTGGCCCTGGTGGAGCTGCTCTCCGGCCCCAGCCTGACCATCTCCAAGGGCTCGCACCCGGTGCACTGCATCGTCTTCCTCTCCCTCTTCATCGTCACCAACGTCAAGTACCTGCAGGTCACCCAGCTGCAGCAGATCGTCAAGCTGACCCTGCTCTTCAGCTTCACCTTCTCCTTCCTCTGCTGCCCCTTCTCGCTGGGCGCCTACGGCCTGGAGCCCCCCAGCGCCCCCGAGCAGGGCATGTGGCAGCTCATGCTGGTCACCTTCGTCTCCTACTCGCTGCTGCCCGTGCGGACCCTGCTCGCCATCGTCTTCGGGCTGGTGGTGGCCGTCTCCCACCTCATCGTCACCGCCAGCTCGGTCAGTGCCAAGAGGCAGCGGCTCTGGAGGACGGTAAGTCCCAGGGGAAGGAGGGGAGCAGCCGGGGGGGGGGCACTGCAGCTGCTGTGTGAGCTGGGGGGGGGGGGTTAGAGGATCCAGAGCGTGGGGAGTTTAGTTTGTGTGTGTGTATATTGGACCTGGGATGTGTACAGGATTGCAGGGACGGTGTGTGCATGGTGGGACACGCGGGCTGCGTGTTTATGCATTGGGAGAGTGTGCGTGCGTGTGTGTTTGTGTTGCCGTGTATCTGTCTGTAGCTGTATTGAGGAGGGGTCTGTACTGGGGAAGTGAGTGTGTAAGCTGGATGTACGGTGCCCGTGTGGTGCGGATTGGACGCACGGAGTGTGCCTATGGCCGGCGTGTTCACAGTCTGTCGGGGTATCAGGTATGTGTAGCGGCTAGTGGGAAGCGGTAGATGCGGAATAATCCGTGTTGGGACGTGTCGCCGTCTGCCTGCTGCTTCCCAAGCTCACAAAGTTTGGAGGGGGATGTAGGGCAGATGTGGGGTGAGAGTTCAGGGAGGGATATTTGGCTGCCGGGTGAAAAGGCAAGGAAACGATTTTTGATCTTGTCTAATAGTAATAATAAAAAGAAGGAGCTGCACTTCGTCAATGGGGAAAAGACAGGGACGCTTCATGCGGGAGATGCAGTCAATGAAGATAAATAAATCCCATCTGACTCACGATAGACTTGGAATAGGTAGCTAGACTTGTTTGGTGAGATCGCCATGAACTGACATTCTTATTTTTTTCCCACAGGCTCAAACTCAAACCTCCCCATTCCTCGACCCCAAATAGCAGAGCTCAGGGGAGCTGGAGAAACTCCTGGGAAGAGGGTGGGAAGCCAGACATGGAAGTCCCACTTCCTTCTTCTCCCAGTATGCATGGCATTCCCAGCTTAGTTTCCCAATTCCAGCCACTTCCTCCTCCCCTTGCAGATTAGTTAGGATGTCATTGAACTTCCTAGCAGTCTTTCCCCCCACAAGCATTAATCTGGTGATGCCTCCCTCTGCAGCATTTTTGGGAATGTGCTGCTGCACTCCCCTCCATCCTCTGTGCCCCCCTCCCAGGGGTGGCTATTTATAGCCCTGCAGGGCTTTCTCCAGTTCCCATGGCCTGATGGGCTATACTGGGAATGGGGGAGGAGAGAAGGGAGATGCGCATGTTTGAAGCGGTGGGGCTAGGAGTCAGGATTGTCTGATTGTTCTATTATGTTGTGTATCTGAACCACTGGGAAGGACTGATTTATTCTCTCTAGAACTGGGTCAGTTATGTTTGCTCTTAAGAGGAGCAATAACGGATCTTAGGGGTTTTAGATTAATATTTAGTGATACTTTATTCCTTGTTTAGATTATTTGCTACTTTACTGCTTTTGATTTTTGATGTTGTTCTCCTTGGTCGTATCAGGCTGCGTTGTAACACTTAGACCATACCCCCCCAGACACAGTAACAAACACACAGTCACATGCACCAAGGCATGCATTCATACACCTTCACCTAGAATCTCACACACACATATATGGATATAATAGATAGCCAAGGAAGTGAGGTGGCTGGAACTACAGGATTACTCTTGGCTTGATGCTGGTGGACAAAATAAATTGTATGTTTTGAAGGGGAAGAGAGAGATAAGCCGAGCTTTGATTTACCCAGATAATCTGATGGGTCTATTTTTAAGTGCGTGATTTAAAATTTCCATGAGAAAGAGGGACTGCTGATGAAATTCAGGGGGTCTTCATTGAAAACCTCCAAAAGGATAAAAGAAAAGCACTAAAATACTCTGCTTTGAATGGGGTTACAGACTGCTTCGTGTACCAGAAGTCGGGAACCTTTTACTCCCAAGTGGAGCCGAGGCAATCCTAATTCCCATGACATGGAGGCAGATCTTCATTTGATACTGGGTTACAGCTATGTGTGACACCTGCTGTTCCACCAGAATTACACAAAGGATCTAACTTGCACCACACGTCTGTTTATGATATTATCTTACCCAGGGCTTGACGATAAACATTTTGATAAGCTTTTTGTCCTCTTATTGATCTCTCCTCAGCCAATCAACAGACAATGTTAAAAAATCCTGCTAGAGGCTGGTATAGAACTGTACATTTTCCCCCTTACAAAGTAATTTGTCATTTATACAAAGTCCCATGGGCATTATGCTTTGGTGAGAATATTAGGCAGAAACCTGCTCGAAGTCGAGCAGATTATTTGGTCTGTGAATTTAACAGATATGTGTGTTGATTTGTCCCCTGTTTGCAAGCAAATTGCCTTGTGATTTGAACAGGAACACTTTGTGCTCTCTTATGATGAAGTTATCGGTTTTTTGCACAATATTTTCACAACCGTCGAAATTCTGAAGCCTGCATAATACCAGAGTAATTGCGTCTTATGTGGGCATCCTGGGGGCAGCACAGCCCTTTTGCAGGAGCTTTTCCTATGCATGAGCTGCAATAGCAGTTGTGTCTCAGGCCAGGGATGTGCTCTAGTTACAGGATTTAATTCAGCCTGCCCTCAGTGCTCCCTTCTGTGCCAGCCTGTATGGATGCAGAACACAGTCAGTTGTCCAGGCTTGTGGAGCTGTGCAGAGCCGCAACCGAATGAAAGGGTTTGCATGGGCCCTGTAAATTGAGATTTTTTTGCAACCAGACATGCAGAGCAATAGAACAACTGAGGTCAGCTTTTTCAAACATGACCTCTGACTCCCGGGTGCCTCAGCTTTTGGGAGCCCAACTAGACATGCATTGGCTCTGATCTTCAGAAATGCTCAGTGCCCATAACTCCCACTGAAGTGAGTTTTCAGCAAAATCAGGCCCAATGTGTCTGAAGCTGGACTCGCCAAAACAGAGGCACCCAAATTCAGAGGCCACTTTTCAAAAGTTTTTGGCCGTAAGGTTTTCATTCCATTATAAACAGAGTTTCTTTATATCCAAGTCCTCCATCAGGCCCTGATCCTGGTCCCATTGAAGTGCCAAACTCCCATGGACTTCAGGGGTGTGGGATCAGTCCCTAATTGGGCTCTTCTAAAATTTGCATTCATATAAAAGTATGAACAATTTAGCATATTAAAACCAATAGACGAGCTTGTTGTGAAAATAGCTTTTGATGAGGTTCAGCCTTAAGTGAACTTCAGGAATATTTAGATCAAATGTGATTGTGGTTAGTAATTCAGGGAGTTGGTTATGGTGACTCCCTGGCTTATTTCACATAGCCTTCTACACCACTCGAGGTGTTCCCTCCAAGTCAGGGTTAAAGCACATTGACAGGGTAAGATGGAGAAAATTGCACTGTAGCTGTCCATTCTGTACCTGTTTGTGACTAAATGGGGGATCCCAATCCCCAATGTTGACTGAATAATTGTAGTAAAATAAAATATAAAAATTGAATGTTACTTATGTATAACATACCTAGGGTGAAATCCTGACATTGAAGTTAATAATAAAACTCCTATTGACTTCATTGGGAGCAGGATTTCACCTATTTTTGTATATATAGCTACAACATAGACATAAAGGTCTACATAGTATAGGTAGTCAATAGCATTTTAGCCATATGACTCTCATTGACTGCAGTGGGAGTCTTGAAATAAAATATTGCATGTTGACTATTTCTCCCTCGCCTCCAGTGTTTTTGTGAGCAAAACCATAAAGTAGTATGTGGAAAAGGTAGAACCTACAAAGGAAGATTTAATGACATTTGCACTAGTTTGATTTATTTATGAAGTGCCCAAACATGTGCTTGGTGCTTAACAGCACAGTTAAAAATACGTAATCCCTGCCCCAAAAGCTTAGTCTAATTTATGTTGAGATTCAGTGAGTGCATTATAGACACTAAAGGCAGATGGGGTGAGCAAGGGTTACTGTCATTATTTATCCGTGGTGTGGGCTCATCTTCATGTCTTAAGTTGCTGTTAAACAAATTAACTTTGTATAACATTTTAAATATTTTGATCTCTTGGTCATTAAAAGCATATATATAGTATTAAAAAACCCCTATAGGTATATCATACCTATCATATATATATATATATACACACACACACCTGCAAGTACAGTAGGTGAGTACTTGTAAAGTAGTAGGCATGCGGTAACACCCTGCTGATACAGAAGTGTGTATGCAAACCAAAGAACTGCAACACAAATTAACAGACCAAAGCAGAAACAGGGGTGCCATTTTAAATTACCATAAATATATCTTGTTTTTAACACTGTGGACAGAGCAATATTTTTATACTATACCCTTCAATCTATTTTATATTTAAATGTATTTCAAGCTGAAAATTTATTGGGTCAAGCCAGTAACGAAATAGTGCCAGCATGGAAAATGGATGAGTAGAGGGGAACTGGTAAATTATGGAAAGAGCAGCAGAAGGGAGGCTGGTGATTTAGAAAATGTTGAAATAACACATTTTTATGCCCTTTAACATTTACAATTTGATTAAGTTAATGTAGCACTTCCCAGACCACTGGCAAAATAATCCACAATATCACACAGTGTTGTCCACATTTTGTGTTGTATATGGTTCGTATTTTTCTGCTAGTGTGGAAAAGGCAGTTAGTTAATTAACCACATTGTTGACAGGACTGTTGATCCCCCTGTTCCCTTTGCAAAACAGAGGTGAGGTCTAGTGGCCTAATAAAAGGAGTAGCAGTCAAGAGCTACTAAATTTTAATCCAGTATCTGATGCAGTCTTGTCTTGTTGCATTGGACTAGTTGCTTACTTCCTCTGCTTCATTTTCCACATTTATGCAGTAGTTAATATTGGAAAGCATTATGTACAAGAAGTGCCAAGTATGTCCCTAGTCTCGCAAATGCTTCTGCATATCAGTAGTCCCATTGAAATCCATGGGATTCTCCACATGCCTAAAGTTACAAAGTGTTTGTAGGATTAGGGCCAACATTGGTACTGTATTCAACCTCTATGCATAACTTCTAGCTGAATTCATCCTGTATTTGAAGGAAACTTATTTTTGGAAGGGTGAAGGACACTGATGTCTTTGTAGTTAAAGTAGAATT